GGCCCCCTCATACCCATTCTTATCGGGATGTGTCAACAGACTCAACTTGCGATACGCCTTCTTGATCTCGCCATCCGTGGCCGTCTTCTCCAGAGACAGAATCTCGTAGTATGCAGTCGACGAGCATTTCCGTATCCGTAGCACGGCTGCCTTTTGATCCGGGGTATATTTGCGGTCTTGGTTTCCTTGACTGTGCTCGCGGGATTTCGCAGAGCCGCCATTGTCTACCCCAGACGCTGTGGCAGACGGCATGGTGGCAAGGCTCTGATCCTGTGCCCGAGCAAAGATATGTCCGTTATTTCTATGAGCCTCTAACTTGTCCCACTTTCCTGCAGTTCCTCGTTTCCTTTCCTAGAGGACGATGGCGAATCCGAAGGCTGTCGGAGGAGAAAGGGCCCGTGAGGTTCCGATAAGGACTAATTTTTCGCAAACGACGCTGGGAAAATCCAATAGCGACGATTTAAAAATTCCGGCGACTGGCTGATTGGACCCCTGCGTTGAGAACTTTGGTTGGTGTAAAATCCGGGGCAAAAGTGGTCTGTGATTACTGATAGATAAACGTGGTGTCTTTTCGAAGGTTCAGATTTATGTTGACTGAACGGCCACTAAGCCGCGGGTGACAAGACCAAGACGTTAGTTTAGTCAGGAAAGCGTATCACTCCACTACTACCTATGAACTTCCACAAGCAGCTTCGCAATTCGGGACACCTCAAAAGTCGCACCCAATTGAACAATTAATCGTTCGCTCCCCGATTTAATACGCTAGTTAATTCTTCGTTACAAATTATTTCAAGCTCCATCTTCTAAAATCTCCGATCGCAACAATGGCCGGTTCGGAATCTGCAGTGGAGAAGACCAAGCAGTCTCTCATTGAAAAAGCTCAAGCATGGGGAGGTGAGCATTCGCTTAGCCATTGATCGCTTTTCCCCATTTTGTCTCGTCTCTAACATCATAATTCTACAGAAAATCCGTTCACCCCGACACTCCTCGCAACCTTCATTACCGCACAGTACATGCGACCGTTCCAAGCACTGCCGATGCTCTTCCCACCCGTTCTTCTGTTCACGAGCTATGCCAATCTCCAAGGCTTTAAGACCGATAGCGCAGGAATTAGCGCTGCCTGGTCGGGACTTTACCTTTTGCTCGCGGGTCGGCGACGCCAGCCATTCATGAAGAAATGGGGTGCCCGGGGCATCGTCCGCGGTGTGACCATGGGTCTTTGCTTGGCCAACATGGTTGGTGGCGGACTGGCGTATACTTTGGGAAAAAGGGAAGAAGAGGAGGATGATGATTAAAGGTCGGCATTTGCGCCGTGGTCTGGGTTGTACGATAATGCGGGGGTTTTATGCTACTATGACTCTATTAAAAACGTAGTGCGGGCGTCGTGGCGGTATGGTGTTTGGGTTGAATCTTATGACGGAAAAGTTTTTAGTCGTCCTGGGCGAATATATGTGCTCCTAGACGAGGGCGTCATGTATTATATAGATCGTCGACGGGTAGGGCTCATCGGCGCATCACATTTACTCTACCATGCAACAAAGATCTCATTAATGCTGTAATATCGTTTACTCCGAGTATGGTTGCTGGGACAGGATGAACTCCCGGACGTTGTCGGGGACCAGCCCACCCAGATCTTGGGGATTCGATCGGATGGCCTCTCGGGCCAATGTAGAGCTCACCGGTCTCTGGTCTGGCTGTCTCCCTTCCACGAGCTGAATCCGTTGAGCCCATTCAGGCTTACCGCCTTCTTTCTCCATGCCACCCTGAGCCATGTTGAGTAGGAACTGCCTCTGCTCTTCTGCATCGCCCCACTCGCTACCCGGTCGCATAGTGACCCTCAACCGATGGCGGGTGAGAAAAGGCCCTAATGGCTGGAGGGTATGTTCTGGGGGATAATACTTGGGGTTGAAGATGCGGATCAACGTATCATAGCCGGTGAGATGAACCTGCTCCAGCGACTCCGGATAGACCCCCGCAGTATCGATTTCCGCGGCTTTATCCACGAAATACGGTTTTTTAGTGAGACCGATATCGATTTCAGGAAGACTCCCATTCTCTGGAGTCGAGAAATGGGGTTGTAGATATGCCAGTAGGTCTCTCGCGAATAGTTCCATCATGACAAGACGATCCTCGAACAAGGCTGGCTTGGAAGGTTTATCCGCATTCTGGGTCGCAAGCAAGAGTAAAAGCCGCGGCGCTTTGCTCGCATTTTCTAGAAGGGCGGTGCTAGCTATCCTGCGATGAGCAAGAGTTGGCGGGTTGAATGATGAATCCAGCACATATAGGACATCTGGAATGTGAGTGGGTGGTGGGGGAGATTGAGTAACGGCGATAGAGGTGATGATTTCGAAGTTCTTGCTCGACGCGATAAAGCGCTTCAAGGTCGAACTATATTGCGCTCGGAGTGTCTGGAGGGTTGGGGTCGTCATACTTTTCTATTATGCAGAGCAGTAACCACCGTTTAAAGTGTAGTACCGAGACCTTCTCTTCGGGGACGTCAACGGTCAGACAAGGGCAAGAGCTTCAAGTGGAGACCGCTGAGATCCATGGAATGGAAGGTTGAGAGAAGTCCCGAGGGTTGGCGCCCGGTGGATTCGGCCCCCGCGGGTGGCTGCAGAGAATTGCATCATACAAAGACAACCCTAAACAACATGGGAGTTTATACTCTGGCCTAGATGCTCAGCAAAACTCAACTCAGCCGTTTTGTGAGGAAGAATTGCATTGTCCTTTGTGGCTCAGTCAACAAACGGTGGTCAGTGAGTTATTTTCTGCGTCTCGTAACCGGTCCTTGAACTATATTGGCAGCGGGAAGATCTTAATCAAGGACCCTGAGAAGCTGCTTCGGTACGAATGATGGGTCTCTTGATGGAGTATCTCAAGGAGACTCATCTCAGGCCGTGTGAGTATCACCAATTAACATGAAACCGATCTACCCGTGTGTCTGGAAAGTTGTCCGCTAGCAGGTTGGAAACAGTGGCGTTCGGAAAGTTATCAGAGAGGACTAGAGTCTAGACTGCTTCTTCGCATATCACCTACTGCACGCAATTTCCACTGGAGGGGTGACGGTACGAGAAAATTGCCGTGGATGCGCAGATTTGATCGATATCGATGGCTTAACTAGTGGTTAACTCCCGGGTTGATTAGTATTGGGCGGAAGCGGGAAGGAACACCACCCACAGCCCTCACGGTCATCAGTCTGAAACACTGGCCCCAATCAATTCCCGAGACGAAGCATTCCATCTGGGGAGTTCTTTTCCGTCCCCAAATCCCAGGGGAAACTTTATTCCCAAATATTGTCCTTTGTCAAACGTCCCCAAAAATTACGGGCAAATTTGGTTGTCGCGGTCTTGAGTCCCCCGTACTCGTGATTTCGTACGGGATCTAGGCTGGATACCGAGTACAAGCCGAAGTTGTCTGGACTCTGGAACCTTTGCCGAGATCCACTCGGTGCTGTCGCTCTGATCATCGTCCGGGTTCTGATTGTCAAGATCAGTGATGGGATGATCTACATCCGTCAAAGCTCGTATCCAGGTAGTCTATTGAGTCTTGACATGTACGCTCTCCCATCAGCCATCATGCCATGGTGATGATTTTTGCATCATCGCCCATTTCTTTGGCCTTTGTGAGACGTGTTACAGGGTCGTTTCAGCCTCGGCTGAGCTTCTCCCCGACTCTCGGTTAGACGGACTCCTCGTTAGGGACTCAATAGTTAGATGTTTGTGGGATCCGCCAGGAAAAGTTTGTCAAGGAGTATATTACCATATACTCCGGAGGATGCACCAGAAAGGATAAGACTACGATATGAACGGTGAACGACCCCTATTGCCATGATCATTCGGTATTAGACTAGGCAGAACATTCTAGGATGAGGCAAAAGGGGGGGCCGGTGGCAGATTTTTCTTCTTTTCCTTTGCTCGTTTGGGCGTAGCCGGATACTACGTCTTATGCTATCGCGCTCTGGATAAGCCACCCACTTGCGCTAAGACGAGCGTCCCAGAGTTGCGATGGTGGTTACGGTACAGTATCATGCATGTTGGCCAATCAGGCCCCGGTGGCCACTTGGTGTCCACCCCGGTACCTGACTAGATACTACTAGTACTTAGTACTAAGTAGGAGTACTCAGTACCTGGTACTCAGTGTGGTCCTTGATATGGATGGAACTTGAACCTCACCACGGCCAGCTTTGACGGGGACCAGGACCACCTGTCTAGAGAAGTTTAATAGACGCCGGTGGTCTTTTTTTTTTATTTTATTTTGTCGGACGGGTGTGAGACATGTAATTTCAAGCAATCGAATCTGGATGGTCAGATCTGACTTGAGTTCCCAACGGTGTGACGTGAAAAAATCACCCAATTGGTGTGTATAGAAAAAATGAACGAAGAAGCCAATAAAAAAGAAAAAAGAAAAAAGAAAAAGGTACAACCGTGCGACGGGAAATGGAACAGGCACGCGGCGAGATTAAACCCACGGGAGTGACCAATCCGCGGGCAGAACTGGGGAGATGAAACTGGATCCTCATCTTGGGGCCGCCCCACTTTAATCATACACCAAATTAATTTTCTGGGATGATTTGATCGGTAACGTTGCAGGCACCCCGTGCGCAGGAGACAACGCAGGGAAAAATAATGGGGTGTATGCGGTATTAGATTGGTCCCGTGTATTATTGTGGATTGTTTCTGGGTGAAAGTATCAGAGAGTCCAGACGGTCTCCAACATAAGATGATTCCGTCCCTTCCCTCGCCCTCTTTTTAACTCCCTCTTCCTCCGTTCACTCGCTAGACTGCTCTATACGTTCTCTACTTTTGCTCTCTGTGCCAGAGACCATTCTCTTTCGTTCAGTTCCCCTGTCATTCGTTCACATTGCGAATAGATTTCGCATCCCACTCTCGTTACTTGACTAGCGCAGTCTCTCCCTCTATCAAGAAGGAAACACAAATCCCCAATATCAAATCCGTATCCATCTAGATCAAAGACATTGACTGTCAGACAACATCCACAAAATGCATTTCAACAACAAGATCTCCGTCGCTCTGTTGGCCGCTCTGGCTGCTGGTTCCGAGGCCGGCCATGCCCGCAACCACAAGCTCTTCCATCCCCGGAACGTCAACTCGACCGTGTCCACCTCGTCGGTGATTGTCTACCCAACCCCGGTGTTGACCCCCAGCTCCTCCGTGCCTGCTGGTTCTTCTCCTGTTTCCTCTTCTTCCGCCGTCACCTCCTCGACCTCGGACGCCAGCTCGTCGGCCATTACCCAGGCTCCCCCTCTTAGCACTGGTGTCCCTGGATCTTCTGGATCTGGTGATGACAACAACTCTGGATCGGCCACGGATATCACCATCACCTATACCCTCGGCACTGGTACCTCGAAGAGCGTGGTCACCACCACTATCCACAAGACTGCCACTAACACTGAAACTATCTTCACCGTATGTTCGCCCCGTAGGCCTTTTGAACTCCCCAGGACTGTGGACTAACTATCATCCCAGAAAACTCCTGCTGTTCCTACTGCCAGTAGCGAGGAGCAGACCACTACGCTTCACTCCACCTCTACTTCTACCGTCACCGTGGTAGAGGTTCCCTCTTCTTCTGCTGCCCCTGGCAACAGCGGCAACAGCGGCAACGACGGCAGCGAGGCTTGCACCGGACAGGCTACCGTCACCGTGACTGCCACCGTCACTGAAACCGTCACTGGGGTATGCGTTCATTCGTTTGCTATCGGTGACTGTCAGCTGCTAACTGGATTTCTAGGCCCCTACCGCTACTGCTAAGCCCGGTGACCACGACCACCAGAAGCACCCTGGTAACTCTGGAAACCATGGCAAGCACAACGGCAACGATAAGGGTAACGACAACGAGGACGAGGATAACAACGACCAGGGCGAGGACAACGATGACGGTGCTGAGCACACCAAGGCCCCTCTCCCCGTCCCTACCCACTCTGGACGTCCTCCCTTCGGCAACGGCACCCTGCCCATTCCCACCAGCGGCACCGCCAAGCCCACTGGCTTCTTGACCAGCAGCAAGCACGCTTTCCCCACCAACTTCCGCCGCTCCCACTAAGCGCCTGGATCGCATGACACCCCTGGTCCTCGGAGCGTTGATATGACCGTCTGTAACTAAGATTTCATTTCGTGGCGAACCGCGCGCTGGCACTGTACCCGATGAGGGAGATGCTGTTTTTACTTCTGGTACAAACTTGATTTAGACATTCTTACATACCTTTCTTCACCTATCCGGCAAGGGCAACCTGGCCGGTGGTTCTTCGCTTCTTGCAATCGGGATCGATCCGGTCCTACGTTAACCAACAAAGCTTTCTTCTTTCTCCCTTCTGTCTCTCCTCTCGTGGTGCACTTTTTGAAATCTATGTATATCGGGACGGCCCGCTACGGCTCAGTGGGTTACGGTCACACAAAAACAAGGGAACAGCAGTGGGAAGGAGAAAGTCTCATGCCGGAGTTGGGTCTGTACAAAAGTTTCTTTGGCCGACTCCGGGAGTAAGACGTCTGATTCAATCTGCTACGCCAAAAACTATGATGATCTCTATGGATATGGATATGACAGCGAATTATTTCGATATGTATCTCCTATGACAGAAATCCACAGGCTTGGGTTATGTGTTTACGTTTTGGTAGACGAGGGAACACGTAGACAATATGGACAAGGAGCCCCTGTAGTTCATTAGTATATTATATTACACGTAATACTCTCCACAGTATATACACAGTCTATTATACATCAGAGATACCAATTAATCAATCAATCAATCAATCTCCAAAGCCCCAACACCCTCGCGCAAGATACGATCGCGCATAATATGCCAATCCAACCAGGTCACGCCCTGCAACAGACAGTCCGCCAAATCATCCAACTTCCCAATATCAAGCACACCCACCTGACCGCGTCTCCTCTTCTGGCCCTTCCACTTGGCCAAGTACGCCTCCACCCACTGCCGGAGCTCGCCCTCCCCCGAAACGGCCACCTTCACGTCCCGCTCCCCATCCGCCAACGCATCCTCCAACCACCCCCCAACCAATCCATCTTCACCTTCTTCCCCTCGCGCGCACTACTCCTCCCCTTTTTCTCCTTCTCCTTCTCCACGCCAAGCCCATCCCCCCAATACCGGACCACGCGTTGCGGCTCCACGCCGAGGACCACGGGCGCCGAGCCACCAGAAGAAGAAGAAGAAGAAGAAGAAGAAGAAGAAGAAGAAGATCGCCCCCTCTCGCGGCGCAACGCATACAAAACAGCATACAACATGCCCTCAAAGACGCCGACCCGCAGCGTCCACTCCTGCACAGCACTGCCGCCACCGGAGCGGAACCGCTGTCTCTCGATGAGGACATGAGTAGGCTGGTATTTCTCCAGCAGCGTCGTGATCAGCACATAAGCCTGTTTGGCATACGGCGAGGGATGGAACATGTCTTTCCCATCTTTCTCCTTTTGACAAGCTAATTCGTTGAGGTCATCCATGTCAGATGGCTGCTCTGTCCAGCCTGTTGACCCCAGCTCAGGTAGTAGTAGTAGATCCGAGACGGCCAATCGGCGCCAGGCGTTTAGGGTTGGCGTAGTACATGTTTTCCCTATGGCACTACTAGGAACCAGAAGATGCGCAAAGGCCAGGTTGCGGATACCCATGTCGATGCTGAGGATACTGAGGTTCTGGGGCTGCTTTTTTCGTTGTTGTTGTTGCGTCTTACTCTTGGGGGAGACGGAGTGGTACTCGCATTGCACGAGCTCCGTCTCCAGTCGGCTTATTAGGGCTGCCTTGGGGCCGGCGGAGCGAATGCCCGTTGCTTGGGCGATCTTTTGGAGCTGGGCTGTTTTAAGGGATGAGAGCCATGTGGTCGGGCTGAGGAGGGGTGAGTAGGGGCGCATTATGTGGTTTAGAGAGGGTTGGTTCGCATTGCATTGAGATGTGGATGTGATGTGAACTTGGTATGGATAATTTAGTTTATCTAGTTTAGTTATCTTAGTTATCTGATCTACGGAGTGTCTGCGGGCTTACATAAGGTATTTCTAGACCGTTATACAACAACCTTGACCACTCATAATTTCAATGCGCTAGAGATCCCAAGGAAACAGGACATACTCTCTCATACATTAATTAATATGTCATGTCTGCTTCACAACGTAGCTACTATCTATCTCCACTGCAACAAAAAAAATAAACAGGACGAAAGATAGAAGAGATAAGGGCCCGAACCGCGATTCGAACGCGGGACCTCTCGCATATTAAACTGTTGACCAGTCCAGAACTATTAAGCAGCCCGAAGCGAGAATCATACCACTAGACCATCCGGGCAGATGATGTAATACTTCTGGTTTTGTTGGAAATTGTTTAGAGTACGTTCCTTAGTGGTTGATTCTCTGCTACCATGCATCATTCTCCGCAATAGCTGATGAGATATATTGATTAACATGCGGAGAACTAGAGGATTACTTCGATCATAGAAGGTTCGAATACGTGGTAGGTGTAATCTATCCCTAGGTTATGGAGTATATAGATATCTATAATTATATATTTACGGCTATCATTAATTATTCTTTGTCATCCGTAATGAATGAGAAAAATAAAAATTTGAAGGGATAAATAAGGGCCCGAACCGCGATTCGAACGCGGGACCTCTCGCATATTAAACTGTTGACCAGTCTAGAGCTATTAGAGCAGCCCGAAGCGAGAATCATACCACTAGACCATCCGGGCGGTGTATGTTATTCGCCTCCATAACTGCGTACATAACTATATGTCAGGACAGAAGAGATCATCTCAAGTTTCTCCAGACGAAGTATAGATAGATAAAGCATTCACTCAGATAACTTAGCAGCTGCTATAATCAGATTTCCTATGTATTGCGTTTAGTTTGAGGTAAGTCATCCTAATCCCACCATGTAGTGAGGACATACTTCTAAGGGTAACAGGTGGACCTACTAGTAATCCTTTGGGACTACATGACAACTCGACTAAGTGACTAGTCCCGCATTACTAGTTGACTAAATTTAAGCTATTAGGATTATATATATATTGTACACATTTTATCCTCTGAATCAATGCGCAGGTAGTCGGAAAACAAGTTCCCTCCCTTCTATTCAAACATGCGAGATGCCAAAAAGACGAACACCACCAGTTGCCAATCGGCATTTAATGAATGGATATTTTCCCCCGGTTGACGCCAGAACCAATAATTACCAATGCAAAAACGCTGAATTGCACGTCAAGAAAAAGCGAAAATAAAATGGAAAGCATGGAAACAAATGTAAAGCAGTCCTCACCACGTTATGCCAACACATCCGCGTAGAGCATCATGCCATGTCATGGTTGCCCATCGCCACGTCGGTCGGCGACACACATTCGCGCACGTAGAGGATAGGCGCCCAGACTCGCCAGTGGAGGACACCCATGTGTGCGAGTCGCATGGCAATCCGTTCAATGCCATAGTGTTGCTGTGAGACTGGTGAGTGAGGATGGCTCCGTTGAGATTCGCAGATAGCCAGAGGTGACATGGTTAGGTACTGTTGTGCAAAGCCCATGGTGGCCGCCATCAAATTTTCACGCCATAAACTTTGGAAGTGTTGGAAGAGTTCTGACTCGCCCAACAGATGGGTCTCTAGCTGGTTTTCAATACGCGCCATGACGCTATCGGGTACCATAGTAATCTCGCAGCCATATGCCTTGCATGCAAAATGCGCAATTTCCAATGCAATACACCGTATATTCTGCATCCACTGAGGCGATCGTCGTCTGCAGTCCTCACTCTCATCTATCAAGGACTCGATGCGAGACCGGAAGGTGGCGTATGCTTGTACCTGAGCTGGATGATATCGTTTGAGTGGATTAACACAGCGCTGAAAGACTTCCCAACAGATGTCAAGCGTGATTAGGCTCTGCAGACAGGTCCGCAACTGCCACAGGCGATCAGAGTCGAAGATAAACGTTTCCGGGAAACTTTCCGGAGTATGGAACTGCAGCAGGAGATCCGATAGCCCACCAAGCAAAACCGTAAGGGGGCGGAAGTTGTCTGGCTTTTCCATCCTGGTCAAATCTCGTTCACGTAGTTCTTGGTACCATAGTCGTGACGACTCCACGCGGAAGTTATCCCGTTCAATTTTGCTGCGAAAATACTCTTGCAGAAATGGTATAGTGTCTTCTATAAGTAGCACCCGGAATGCGCGGATCTGATGGTTTGCAACGTCCTATCTCAACGTATTAGTGATTTTCCCTCCTGCCCTAATTGTGCCCGCCGAGGGTCGGATGCCTTACCAATTTCATAGCCTCCAGGATGGCAAACAGAGTCTGGAGACCACGGACAATCTCCAAAGAGTCCTGTGACCGTGACCCCGAGCTGATCTGTTCCACCATACGGTCTGCCCATTCATCACGCATTGGAGCGCAATGTGTCTTGAGCAATGCTGCGAGCCAATTCGCCACGTCTACCATATTAAGGACGCCCTTCCGAATTTGCTGCATCAGTAAAGGTACCTCGAGATTTTGCATCACACTAGGATGATCTCGTTCCGGGACCAGGGTTTTCAGAACATCCTGCAAGGTGTCAAACAAAGACGGTAGTCGAGGCTCGAAGCTTTGCTGCTGGTCTGCCCACATATGGCCACATGGGGTGAGCGGCTGCTGAGCGGCGCAGAATGCGTAGATAGTTATCTCTGTAGCCATGGCTTCCCAGTAGTCGGCCGCTTCCTTCCTTTTTCGCCGACCTTTCTCGCCGTCTAGATCCGGTTTGAAATGGAGATCGCGGTCGAAGTTCGCATCCATGCGAAGGTTGATATTGCTCATGATACAAGGCAAATCGAGTTCGCTCAGGGTGCTTTTGGTGACTGGGGGGTATCTCTTGGCCGTGAGCAACAAATTATATTCCTCCGCACTGAGGCCCAGCTCCGGAGGAATGCGCATTGCCTGTGAGGAAGGCGAGGGGGTGTTACTGCACGCGGGCTGCTGAAACGCCGACGAAGCCTGGTGCATATCATGGTCGCAGGTAAATGGAGTGCCCTGATGTTGCTGGTTTACCTGCGCCGGATCTTTGCTTTTGTTCGGATCCCGATGATCTAGCGAGTCGTTCTTGGGGGAATCTTTGGAGTGGCCGTTGCTCCGTATGGTTCCAAAGGACCCTCCGTGCTGTCCTCCTTCTTACCGGGAGCGGCGTCCCGCCGTGCCTCTTTGGCTCTTTGAAGGTCCATTTCCCATCCAGTCCCGTTGACAGCCGGGGAGGAAGTTGCTAGTCTGGGGTGGTTGAGGAAGCTCGTGGAGTCCGGGGAGGAACAAATAGTAAATCAGGAATGATTAGAAGAAGTGTGGAGCGTTAGATCGTGGGGGTCACGGGCATTTCTCTCTTGATGGACGCAAGGCACCGCAACCCTCCACACTGTCGGCGGGGCAATTGGATGAAAGAGATCCCTTTCCCCAGCCCTTCAGTTAGTCCTTGCCTGAGGCCGAAGGGGGAGGGATTACGGTGAGGGAGGAAATAGTGCTCACCTGATGCGGGTAACCCGATGTCGATCAACCCCCGTTGATACCAAACAAAACCCCCAAAACAGAACGATCTTCAATCCTCTCCAGGTGATCTGTCTTTTGTATCGCACGCAGTTGCAATGGTTGCTGCTTGTTGTCCTTGTTCTCTTTCTTCCCCTTTGTTCTTCCTTGCTCCTTTAGGACCCTTTTTTTGGGTTTCTCCCGCACTGAAAGAAGTATAAAGGGCACGAGGGCGACAAGGGCCAAGTCAGTCCACCAGTCCACCAAGGAACCAAGTGCAGAAAAAGTAAAGTTGAAGAACAGCCAATGGCTTTCTATGCGACCACTACCCAAGACTAGAAAAGTCAAACGAATAAACAAACGGCAATGGGTTACAGAAATGCCGAAAGGGAGTACAGGTCAAGCCACTTCATTAGCAGAGTGGACGGGGATGGAAGAGTGTTGATATAAGCCAATGGTATGAGATGGAACTTGAAAAACGTAAGATCTGAATACAGTCATGAGACGAGAACAGAGAGCGCGAGAGAGAGAGGGAGAAGAGAGAAAAAAGAAAGAAAGAAAGGAAAAACAAGGAAAGAGTCAAGGATGATGAATTTCTCCACTCGGGCCTTAGAAGTATCAAAGAGAGATCGCGAGAGAGACTTGTCGGAAAGAGAACCAAGGGTATGGCACAGGCACTAATGTAATCAACGCTGGGTTCGGGTTAGTAGTCAAAGAAAGGATGAATGGGAACAGTAGGAGATGAAACTATAATAGTAAACGGAAAACGTCTTAGTCCCCAAGAGCGCCACTTTTGGGATTATTTTCGGCACTTCCCCCAGGCCACGAGAGGGAGAGGGGAGAAGGCAAAGTGAGGCTGATCCATAAAAATTTTGGAGATGGACGATTGCAGGAAAACAAATGACATCCGGAAGCGTCCACTCCTATCGAACTAGTCGCATTGATGCTTGATGACGTGGGATGCCGAGTCGGCAATGATTTCAGGTCTTAGTTAGTTAGTTGGTGATTTATCGTTTCGTTTTCTTCGCGTCCTGGCCGCATTACTGTTTAACTTTACCTCTGGATCTGCTGGGGTTTTAGTAAACGTTAGTTGGGTTGGAGTGGAGACGCCGATGGAGACATCGTCAAAGGGGGAGGAATGGATTCCTAACGGTCGCGAAGGAGCTTCCAACCCTCTCTCTCTGTCTCTCTCGCTCTCTCTCTCTCTTTACTCCCCACGCGGCGATTCCCTGTCCTTCACCACGTTGGAAAGGGGGATTTTTCGCCGGTCTCAGTAACATTCCAGATGACAAAAAATAAAATAAATATTTCAAATCAAATCAAAAACGGGCACATGGGGTCATATCCATACGATCTGTACGATATTCCCCCCCCAGGATTCGGCGTGTGCCAAAAAGAAAAAACAAACAATGCCAGTACCCGACATTGCGAAAGCGAGTCTCTCTCCCCAAAGATGCATGATACTACCAGTATTAGAAATCAAGGATTTTATTTAATACTGTGAATCGCCACGGGCGCCACCGGTTCTTTGTTGAATGATTGCATTGGCCATGGAGAAAGAGAGCCAAGGAGGCGATCGTAGAAAAAAAGAAAAAGTTATGGAAGGCATTGCAGAAAGACATGGTCTTCGTTGCCGGAGTGAGCGTTCGGTGTATTGCAGCTTGCATGCGGCTTTCCGCAAGTTGTGTTCAGATGGCTCTTGCGCAATGGAACAGGTCTTCAGAACCTTTTACCCCTTTAGAACGAGTTGAACGTAGGGGGCAAGAGGGTATGTAGCAGAGAGACATTCCAGTCTTAGGCATATCAACTTCGGAGCCCTTAATACTCCTCCCATGCCCGCCTTTCTCCCCTGTTTTGGCTTTTCCCCTACTCATGCCTGTTTTGAGCCCTTTGAATCCGTCTCCAGCTGCGTACGCTAGGTATGATCCAGTGCGTCGGTGTCACGCGCGGCCATACCAGAATATGGAGACGGCGTTGGGCCTGTTGTGTACTATACGGAGAGTACTTGGCAGATATCCTTGATGCCAATGGGGTTGTCCACGCTTTACTTCACACAACGGGTGGCCACGAGCATCACTTCAGGGGAAACGTAATTTCTTTTTCTTTCAACTTGGGAAATGACTGTTGGTACTCCATACTGTGTCCATTATCGCGTACTCACCATCTACTTCAAACGATCGTATGGCGTGCATGGGAGACCATTCGCCCACCGACAATTGTTTTTTTTTTTTATTGCAATCGAGTCTCCGGGGCCCGTCGGCGGGATGGCTTGTGGCGAATGACGGCAGGGAATAGGAGAGTCCCATCTGAGAAACCTTGTCTCGGGGGTGGTGGGACGATGGGGGATATTCCCTGATCCACTCCCCCAGCAGCTTGATAGATAAATCTCCCAGAATTCCAGTCGAAAGTGGATCACGCGCGGTGAAAATTGGCTAGTGGGCTTCTGCCGCGCTGATAATCACAGCGACATTGTGTTTTGTAGTCTACCCGGGTTAACCCCCTGCAAGTTCCAAGGGGACCAGTACAGGATGTGGAATAAGCTCTTGATATCTTAAGCGATACCCGGGATCAGGATCGGCCGGTGGTGGTGATGTTTTAAAGCTTCTTTGGATTTCAGCAGATGTTAAATTGGGTTTGAAACCTGCGGAAAAGGCGACAGAGGATTCCCGATTGCGCACAAAGAGAGGATCCTGAGGTGGCTGGAACCTTGACGAGACTGCAAAGCATCGAGGGGGCGTACGAAGGAATGGGAGTCGCTTGCGCTTGGCGCCTCACTTTTGCAAATGCACTGATCACAAAAATATTCGCCTCATTCCGGAGGCCACCGGAACACCCCCCGTTTGCATCCAAACTTCTATAAAAGAGCGGTGTTAATTTGCTTCCACTTGAGAGTACTTCTGTTCGACTTGTCTATTGGCTGCATTCTGCACTCGTCAAGGCGCTCCTTGGAGAGGATCTGTTATGGGATACATAGCAGTGTAGATGTAGATGTATAACTGTCGCATTATTCTGCGAACTGCCTGTTGTCTCACGTGAGCACCCACTGTGTGATCCCCACACATCAATTAAAGCTCCAGGACACACACTAAATGCTCACTGACCGCTCCTGGAGCAGACACTTTGGAAAGGTGTTAAGATGCCAATGATCGTGTACTCCTACATATCTATTAAGCCTCATGGAACTAGTTCGGAACGGAAAAACAGATAGTCTTGTTGCTAGGCGGGTATTGTGACTTGTCTGAATTCCAGCTGGCTCGAGAATCAAGCTCAAACAGCTTATGCGAAAGACGGAAGCGTTCATGTATACCTTGCCGAGTACGGGAGTTGTAGATATGGGATGTTATATCGGACTACCTGTCACAAAGTGGCCGTTGGGCATTGATGTTGTCATTGTCATGAGTTTAATCTTTGTGAAGGAGGAAGTCATTCCGGGATTATACTCCCTAGGACTACGTATTAGTTATCCATACAAACAGCTAAATAAGAGTATTTGTAACAGGAATATAACAAAGCAGGTCTTGAACAAGGTGGTTTCGAGTACAGTCATCTTGAAATCCTTCTTTTGCTTGCCCCCCTAATATACAGCCACAGCTAATAGCCCTAACTATGATAAACACTACCATCATAACTACCTCCCCTACACCACACTCTCCAATGTACATACAACAGACATTCGTAGACTATGCCCTACCCAGCAAAAGTACTAACCTCCGCCCCCGCCACAAAATACACAACCCTCATCCTCCCCCGATCCAAAAACCGTTCTTCGTCCGCGCGTAACCGCTCCCCCTGTGCCACTAACGCCTCATGAAACGCCTCGTAGTGGACCTGATCACGAAAGACAACCTCTGCACAGCAGTCCCAGGAGAATTCCCCGGCTACGGTGCTGGGGAGGATGACTCCCTCGCGGGGGGGACGGGGATCAGTAGCGGTGGTCTCGCCTGGGGATTTGTCCTTGATGTCTGGGATAGACTCCTCGACCCGGGGTAAATAGTATCGTTTGTGGACGGTAGGGAAGCGGCCAGGGCCGAGAATGTCCTTGAGGAGGGGGATGTGGTGGTTCTCGTAGTGAGATTTGAAGGCAGTTGGCGTGAGGCCGGGTTTGCGGCGGAGGAAGGCGAGGAGGGTGTATGTCATTTTTTTTTCTCTTTGCTTGGCTGTCTCTTTTGTTTGTGAAAGTGATGCTGACTGTCGATGAACGGTGGACTGGATTCAATATTCAGAGGGAAGTAAAGACAGTACCGTATCATGAGAATCCATGAAGGATAGAGCCCCTATATATGATCTAATCCATCCCATCACTCCCGAGTAAGCACTAGTTGAGGGATATTTGTTGAGCTATACTGGTTGAAGACTAAACCCTGCAGACCATGAAACTAATGATCACCTCTAACGCTTTATCAGGCCGTTTGTTCTATTCTGTGAGAAGCTCGTCTACTGTGGCCCTGAGCATGTTCGAAGACATGACCTTTGCTACATGCTCGTCGGTGGGACCGATACCACTACTCCATCCAACATCTAGAAAAAAGAATGCGCTAGCGAACCTCGCGTTAATTGGTTATAATAATCTCCCGGTTACTTCTTATCAACTGTTGATTGAATCAGATCGGCTGCCCTCTCAGCAACCGCATACACCGTCGCCATTGGGTTCCCATACGGAATCAATGGGAAGACACTAGCATCCACGACCCTCAAGTTCTTTGTCCCATAGACTTTCAAGTCTTGATCGACCACCCCACCCTGTTCACGAGGTAACATGGCAGCTGTGCCACATGAGTGGTGGGTAGTGAGAGCCGATGCGCGGAGAAGCGCCTTAGCTGCCTCTAAATCCTCGGGCACCTGTACTGCCGTGCAATCCAAGAAGGGCTGCAGGGTGGGAGACGCAGCGACCTGGAAAAGGGATTGTAAGTGCCTAGCCATAAGCTCAATATCCACTGGATTCGAGTAAAAGCGTGGATCGACCTCGGGTTTACTGTCAGGGTCATCTATACCACTGCTAAGATGAATGCTACCTCTGGACAAGGGATAGCACTGAATCAAGCCCAGGAGGGCGACGTTGCTGACTGGCCTGGTGCTCAAAGAAGTTGGCGGAAGCTTCTTCCGAATTTCTCAAGATATTATCGCAGATCACCTTTTCAGGGTCTGTGGGAGAGAGATATCTTGCAGCGAGATGGGCTTCTTCACCAGTTCGAACAAAGGCCAAGGCTTGCAGCCCTGCGGTGACGGTGTCTTCTTGGGGCTTCAGCCCGACGGGCTGGACATACATCGAATGGTTCTGTAAGTTCTCGCCAACACCGGGATTGTCTATGATGGGTGTGATGCCATAGCGGGCAAGTACGGCTTTGCTGCCGATTCCAGAGAGTTCGAGAAGCTTGGGTGTCTGGAAGGCTCCGGCGGCCAGGATGACCTCATTCGTGGCTTTGATTTCGGTCAACTTCCCGTCCGCAAGGCGAACTTGGACCCCTGTAGCCAAAACTTCATTGGATTCGGCGTCGTTGGACAGTATGATCCGATCCACAGTTACGCCCGTCACAATATGAAGGTTAGGTCGATATTTCTTCTTGAGGACGCGATACTCAATGTCAGCGCTACTCCGGAGACCGGACTCTGGGTCAACCGTAGCAGTGTGTGGCCGGGCGCCTACAGTAGATCCTTCAAGGATCAAATCGGGCTGGAACCCATAGCCCTTCTCTTGAAAGACTTTATTCCAGGCCCGAATGAGCGGGTGGTTTGCCTTCTCCGCTAGAGCAGGATAGGTGACTTGGATGGGCCCGCCGGCCCCTGTATGCACATGCTCATTCAGACCAACTTCAGAGAGAGGAATCCCACGAGGAGTGGTCAGCGTAAAGGTTTGCCGCAAATACGGCAATAGATCCTTCCAAGACCACTTCGAGTTGCCTAGTCTGCTCCACGTGTCGATTCCAGCAGGCGAGGGAGGTAGAAAGGCCGCCCCGTTGATGGCAGAGGAGCCACCCAGAACCTTGCCTGCGGGGAGATCTTGTTCGCAGTTGTTCAGGCCCGTCTACCGGTCTTAGCTCTCAAGATCATGGACGGCAGAGAAACGCGCATCTCGAAAGCCAATCACTCACCTGGCTCACCGTTTTGAACTGCCAATCGAGGTCGGTGCCGCAGAGAGCGTGCCATAACGCTGGATTTTGCAGCTGGGGATCCGAGGTCTTGTCGGGCCCAGCCTCCAAGACGAGGACCTGAACGGTGGGAATCTCGGATAACCGACTCGCCACGACCAGGCCGCGGTCCCGCCGCCAACGACAATATAGTCAGTACTGGATGGAAGAGGCTCCATAGAGAACGGAAGATGTGGTAGAAGCACTGCTCTTGGCCAAAGGGGTGGGATGTTCTCTCTCTATAAGTCGGTGAATAGCCCGGGCATTACCCGAATTCGACTAGGAAGACCCCCATTCTAGCGTGACAAGGCACCCTGGATAGATCTCTCTGTGGATGTGCTATCACACACTGCTCATCATGCTCGACACAATCATCCATCCGTCTGCTGAGTCCAATTCTCACTTCCCACCCCCGTCAATGCATAGAAAATCTGGTTGGGGTCATATTTCTCCTTGATGGAGGTCAATCGATGATACTGGTTTCGGTAGAACGTCCACTGCCAATTTGGCTGATGTAGACCCGCCTCATTCAGGTACATTGAGTGAGACCCCAGAGATCAAAACCTCATAATCGGCGATCGACCGCAAGGCTGTCACAAAAGCGGCGGTATCAGACGTCACTGTGGAGTAGGGAATTAGACGACCTCTACGCTGTGGGCCCGAGTCAGGATAAACCAGGTAGAGGACAGAGATCAGAAACATACTGTACGGATTGCCACACCACCACCAGCATCAGCCAGAGGGACAACACCTTTGATGAAGCTCTCTGCCACATGCCAGAAAGTATCTTGCGACACTCCATCGTTTGTAAAAGTCAAGTTGGCTGCAGCGGTGGACAGCTCCGGATATACTTTGCTGGTCATGGACAATGCCACTGCATAGGGCGCCCCCCCCCCAACCGCCGCTGCTCATCGCCCAATATAAATCAGCATTTTCCGTCAGAGATGCGGTTAATAGTTCCCCAGATGCAGTGACAGCCTCCCACTCCAGGACTTGATCAGCAGCAAGGCCGAAGCGGGATGCCAAATTGGCCATGACCGCCTCCCTGGATATAGCCACCGGCATAGCTAGGTACAGTCCGACAGTTACCAGCAACGGCCACAAACCCCTATTCGTGGGCAGCTGTGATGGCTTCCAGCACTTGAACTCTAGCACCAACTCGGATAGCAGGACCGACAGACCCTGTGGAGTTGTAGTCAAGGATTTCAATTTCCTTGAGATGATGAGTCCACACGGCTAGTGCTCCTGGACCCTTGGATTTCAGGTAATCATGGCCAGTGTTGCGAATCACGAACCGAAATGTTGTGGGTCCCAGCAAAGGCGAGTGAGTGTCTTCCGATAATCCGCGGCGCTGTTCGCGTTCACGGCATAGCGCACGAACAGGTCGATGGCGCAGGGGAATAAATTGACGAGAGAGAAGAAAGGATGATGAACACTGATTTCTCGATATTTCTATTTATGCAATTCATCGCAGGCTAGCACGGACCCAATTCTTTGCAATCGTACCACCGTCAATAGTCCGTCTGAGGCGAAAATCCTTCCGGTCACATACTCGAGGGTCTGAAGGTGGTCGATTGAAGGCCCAAAAACCCATGAAGCAGCACATCATGTCCCTGGGGTATTGGCTACGAAACCGTACCTAGTATTACCACAGCGGAAACCATTCATACCAAAACCGTATCAAAAGACAGTCTGTTCCAATGCAAGTACTTTTTTCATCCTTGTTCTCTCCCCTTAGCGCCGACTTCCGCCGCGGTAGTGTGCGATAGGGCGCTCATCAAGCAATGCCTCTAATCCAATATTGCACTGGAATTATCTATGTACAGGGGGGATCCTTGTAAACTGGAGCTCCGACTCCAGATGTCGCAACCCATGGCAATAGATACAACACCACCAACCATGCACACCACAGTCTCCATGCTGCGGCATCTGAGCGGATATCCCGCAGCCAAACCACCGACGCTGCTACTCCGACAGCCATCGCGCATGGAGCGATGTAACACCGGAGTGGCAAGTCCCAAAAGAAGACACACACTGGACCCCAACACAGCACCAGGACAGCGATCAGCCAGCGTGACCGGGTTGGTCCTACGAGGAGTGGAATCGTTAATCTCCCGCGACTGCGATCCCCGGCCATATCTTTCAAGTCTTGAATCGACATGGTCGTCAGAATGACACCACTGATCATGGTGATCCAGAGGTATCCTCGTCTCGAGATGCGAGCAGCAGCGGGGTTCAAGTCCGCGGAGGAGCCTAAAGCAATGCGCAGTGAAGAGGCATTGAATAGGCCGTAAGCGATGGCGATGACGAGATCGCGACTAAGTTCGTCTCCGCCCTTAAGGTCGTTGTACATCCAGGCCAGGATCATGATCAAAGCACTCTCTTGCCAGACCCTGAGGCCATATGTCAGGGCTAGAACGGCAGGGATAGCAACTAAAAGAAGCCGGCGGGTTTGCTCGGCACTGATGCGGCCAGTGGGTAATGGCCGCCAGGGCTTGTTGAGTCGGTCTTCCTGGATTGCCTCGGGTGAACGCTGGTTCGCAAGTTGGAAGATGAAGACCACCGCCCAGTTGAACAGAATGACCAAAGGGAGGCGATAAAAGATCAGATCTATGGCCGAGGGAAAGATACTGCCATCAGCAAGAGCAGGTCCGGCCAGTGCCCCCAGTAGACCAAAAGCGGAATTTGGGAGCACAAATGTTGGGATGTCGCTCTCCGAAAAGAGCCAGATGATGGCTGGCAGGTCTTTGAAAGGGAAGGGCTTCGTGGAGATGGATGGGTCCTGGCGTGTCTTCTCCATATTGTTGGAAAGAGTAAGCACAGAGATATAGAACGTGTGTGTGTGTGTGTATGGGCGTGCTCCTGGGTCAATGGACAGAGGTACTTTCCGGTCTTTATAGGTCGAGTCTCTCGCTTCTTCTGATGCACAAAGGTAAAACCAACGCGAGAGTGCCTATGCACTGAGCCTATACCCACATTAGCAGGGCATTGATCGATTGGCCATAGTACCATGGAGAGGACTGGCGCTTTGCGGCATCACACCCGGTGGGATTCGCGGCTCAGCCAATACCCAGTCATGGTAGAGACCCTGTTATTCTCGACTGTATTATATAGATACGATAGTGGTTTCTGGTTTTGACTGTACGAGGTTGCTGTGTAATTAGTATTGGTATTATTAGTAGTCCTTTACGTAATTCCCACGAGAAGTGATATCGTGGACATTGAACTATAGGGCTTGATCTGGACAACGGACTTGTGTGCTCAGAGAGACTGCTCCAAGCCTGCACAGTCGTACTTCACGATGACGGCATCAAAAGAAGGATAAACGGAGCTAGTCCATGTCCGTGGACACCAGCAACTTAGGAGCCCCCCAAGAAGTGGATCACAATTGCCTCAGCTGAGCTTGAGCAGGTAGAATAAATCACTTATGGCTCTGGTCTTGCCAAAGAGAAACGAGGTACTGTTTCCGATTTGGGAATATACAACCACGTGATCATCGATGATCGACCCTAACCCTGAGCCCTATGCCACGTAGTCTTATCGAAAGCCATTCTTCAGATGCCTTGATCTACAGAGAACAGTGACTTTATCTGAGTTACACTTGAGGATGACAAGGGACCTGGATATCGAATGATATTAATACAATACTAGTATGCGGTTCGGTCCCCTACTGAAGAAGAGAAAGCAAGCTGAAGACCATGACTACAACACAGGCAAGACATGGACACTAGGTACTTCTTCAACCGAATAGGCGGAGGCTACTACCACTCTTGATGTGAAGAGTATCCGAATAGAATTAAATCAAGGTATTAAGTGAATTGGCATCGAACGACTACAAGTATCCGTGATGCGCGCGGGTGAGATGGAGACGGCCGTGCTCAATAAGCTTATTGAGGGCAATATCCGGAAGCCTCACAACCAGGCGCCGCAGATGTTATGTATACCACATGGCCAACAACTCTTACTTTCCTTCGCTCTTCCTTGTATATCCTCATCTTAATGGCTTTTTGGCTAGATTTACAGAGACATTTTGTATGGTTGGTTGTATAGGTCAGAAACAACTCTGGTCTCTGTGGTTCATAGGGATAACGCAATGAACATCGCAGCAATATATTCCTTCATATACTCTCTATGGGCAGTCCCTAGCTTCCTTTTCCCACATACAGTTCCAGTGCCCACCAATAGATCTCAATATGAGGTTCACTCGTTGCCTAATACTTCCCTGCCGCTGAGCTGGGCTGGTCGGCTCCCTGTTCCTGAAACGCCTCCAGGTAATTCGTTGTTCTTCTGGCTCTTCGAGGCTGAGGATCCTGCATACGATGGAAACCTCATAAGTCAGTCCCGTCACCGAAAGCATTCATTTTTGGGAGCATAGTTAATTGGCATAGTTTGGTTCAACGGAGGCCCCGGCTGTTCGTCCCTTATAGGGCTAACGACAGGAAACGGACCGGTTTCGTTTGACGGCAATTCCACTCGTCTCATCCAGAATCCACACTCATGGACCAAGCTAGGCCACGTCCTCTACATCGACCAGCCGGTGGGAACGGGATATTCGACTGCAAGTAACCCTTATCCTGTCCCAGACAACGACCGCGTCACATCCGACTTCTACAAATGGCTCCGGAATTTCTTCACCCTGTTCCCTCATCTCAGCTCGAAACAGGTACATATGATCGGAGAGTCATGGGCAGGAATCTACATCCCCTACTTTGCCTCTGCCATTGTCCACGGGCAGGACTCGTTGCCCATCAACCTCCGGTCCATCTCCATCGGCGACGGCACCATCGGGAACGCCGCCGCTATGTCCACCGTCACAATCGGGTCGTTCATGCGTTCCCAGAAAGAGACCCTCCAAATACCGGAGGAGATCCTATCCGTCTTCACAGATGCAGAAAAGACCTGTGGATTCGACCAAATCCTCGAAGCAGCAAACCAATACCCTCCCAAAGACAAGATCCGCATCCCCGGAAACCCCGAGAACAGGAACTACAAGCGCCACCAGCTCCTCGATACTCGCAATTTAGTCGATGAAACATGCAACATCGAGCCCACCACCCCCGACATGGTCAAGGCTTCCATTTTGAACTCCACCTGTTACGGTCCCTGTGCGACCTTCGCCACGGCATTCGACTATCTGGGCGCCATGTCTACCTCGGGCGCAGGCAAACAGTGTCACGATATCTACGACACCCTCAATGACTGTCACACCGTCGACCCTCTAGACCTCCTGGCCTCATACTTCAGCCGTACAGACGTCCAAGTCGCACTGAACCTGCTTCCGGCGGCAGCAGGGAAGGACCCCGGTGGAAACCATCCTTCTTCTTCTTCTCCTCCTCCTCCTCTGTCCCCAATGAGCTTCGCTCCCTGCAACAGCACAATCCTAACGACGCTTTTATCAAGCACATCCCCGGTGGCTCCAGCGTATTCTATCCTTCCTGATCTCGTCACGACCCACAATATCCCCCTCCATATCTACTCCGGCGAGAACGACTTTCTCCTCAACCATTTCGGCACCGAACTGAGTCTCCAGAACATGACATGGAATGGAGCGCAAGGGTTCTCCCAAAGGCCTAACCGGCCATTCTTCAGCGATAATGCTGCACCCTCGCATTCCTGCGATAAGGGAAATAGAACGCAGACGTGTGACGTTGAAGCGGGCGTCTGGGGGTCAGAACGCGGCGTGACTTATCATCTCTTTTGGGGCGCAGGGCATAGTGTTTTTGCGAAGAAGCCACGCGAGATGTTTGCGTATGTGCGGGATGTTGTTGTGGGAGGCTGAATGTTTGCCTCTCTTTTTTATTTTGTGGGTAAACATAGATTCTTCTGTTGGATTCCGTGTTATGGTGTGTGAGGGGTTGTTGTGTCTCTGAGATATGCTGTACATGGATGGATTGCTTCAGCTGGAACTGTATAGCCTGTTCAATGATGGCACACCGGCTCTGATGGTAAAACAAATAATGTCTCATTTCGCTATTTTTCGTCACACATGATTACACAAAGATGGCACGCTATGCAAGGCTATTCCACACTATATAAAGACCAACACCGTACGCCATCACTTTTAAGCCCAGATTGAAACCCTTGTATCCCAGTGTCAGAACACAGAGGGGATGCAAAAACAAACAAGTCACGCAACTAAGTATACATCTTGTAATCGTCCAAATCATACTCAGGCAACAGGGTAGCTATGCTGCAGACGCAGTCTGACAAGAAATGCATAGCACTTCCTGAGTCTTTCTAATGTCGTCTGAAAACAGGGGAGAGTCCTGCGAAGGATTTATCTCAAGGTCATTTTTGAGGCGCCTCTTGAGCCAGTCAACGAGGAGCACCCGATAGGTCGTAAAAGCCCTCAAAACTTGTAGAACGTAACAACGCTCACCACAAGAGCCGAAAGGGGTTTGAGAAGAAATAACTCTATAGTGTAGCACAAGGGTATAAATATGTAGTGAACGCCCTCCGGGGCAAACATGAGAGTGAGGTCAGCTGTGCCACATCACCGACGACTGAAAAATGGTGCCTGGTTGGGCATGGAAAGTAGAGAGTCGGCCCTCTGAAACACGTCTCCCTCGAAAAATTTGTCACTGTACGCACTGGCGGGGGTGGACGGCACCGTTGCCTGAGCGGCTGGACCAAGCGCAGCACTCAATGGTGTTGCAGGGAGAGTAACAGACTGTGGTGACAGGCTGGTGCTGATCTGATGCTGTGGATGTTGTGACTGTAAAGGGGGCCCGTAAATGTTTGCTGGGGCGTTTCCAGACGTCATGTCTGCGAGGTATGACCATGGTGAAGACTCGATCATCCGGCCGGCCTCTCTGCTGGCCCTCTGCACCGGACGAAGGAACATGATGATCTCGGAAGGGAGAAGATTCATGCTCCTGACTTCACGCATGTCTGTCACAAGATCAACGAACGATTGCATGAATGCCTTGCATAATTGCCAGAACTCGCGCTGGTTGCGCATCCCGCCGCCTGGTTCCTTTACCTTCATGTTGGAAAGACGGAGTCCAAGGGCCTCGGATACTTCCAAGCACACGCGACATCGCCGAATGAGGTTGTTCCAGAGCATCTGAATACCTTCGGATTCTCGGGTTTGTTCTGCCAATTCAAGACATCGTACAAATTGACGGCGCGCCTGAGGCAGCGCCTGAAGAGCGGCGGTGTATGCAGAAGTGAGCTGATGAAAGATCCGCTCAAACGTACGCTCTTCTTCGATTTCATCCAGGCCAGTCAAGGGGTTAATCCGAGGTACAACCGTACTCGGCATTGGAGGGAAGGACTCGCCGGAACGGGGGGTCGCAAGGGACGAGGGTACCGATGTGTTTATGTGGTTTGACCGACTACTTGATCGACTCCGTGCTGCGTAACTGAATGGAGTGGAGACAAACCCAGGTGAACTAATCGCAGAGTGGAAATTGGATGCTGTCTGTAATGGCCCACTGGTGAGGATCTGAGGGTGCTGGATAGTGGTGTCACTCCGGTAGCGACGCACCGAGAGAGACGGCGCCCTGCCTCTAGTTGGGGTCACTGTTGATCCAGTGAGCCTATCCGACGCAACCATCTCTCGGTTTATTTCCGGTATAGGTGGCTTGGTGGAAGAGAGACGTTTGTGAGTATGCAGTGGAACACCAAGGCTCACACAAGCATTGCGAAGCTCAATGATACTGCTGTAGATCATTAGCATCAACGAACGTACATAGCGTGAATCTGCATTGGCAACAATCTTGCCAAGACTGTTGCGCAGCTGCGTCGCAACGTGAGTGTATGCCATGATGCACGTCTCGCATTCTCTTTTGACTGCTTCATTGGATAGCCGTATCAAGTCAACATCTTCCAGGTGCGCATTTTCCGCATATTCAAGAGCTTCGTTAAGCCGGTCAACGTGAGTAGAAGCGTTATAGAAGACGATCTCGAGACTGTTTCGCCGGGCATCATCGCGTTTGATCACGTTGATCACAGCATACACATGAAACTGAACCTGAAAAAGGGCAAACAAGACCCCCTTTCCACATTCAATAATCGATTCCCTTGCTTTTCTTTCACACTTGTGTTCCGGCAGACTGGACATCCGATTTACAAAATAATCCTTCAAGCGCCTACGCTCCCTTGGGCTGCTTGGGCTGGACGAGTTACTGCCTGCTGCGCCCGGTGCTCTTGGTCGAAGGATCGACCCATGACTGAGGCCGCGAAGGTGACTGTTCCGATACGCCTGGGTCTCATCCAATCTCCCGAGATCAGCATTTTTCCTGATGACCCCCATCCGCTTACTTCGCGCGGCAATGGATGCCTGGATGATACCCTCACTGTTACTCCGGTTGCGTTCATTGACACCAGGGATATATGTACCAGGTCGCGGGAGGATACTGTTGAAAACCATGCCCTGGCCGGAAGCAATACGGTAGTGGGATTTGAGTGGAATTGGTGGAGGCGCGATAGTAACGGTGATTTGGGATCCGACGAGATGTCCCCTGTACTTGGGATGACCGGGAAGCGGCTGCTTATTCCACGTTTGACGGGTTTAGGTGTGTCCCAAATTGCTTCACTATACGCGGACGTCAGTCGATGTCAGTACCTCTCAGGGTAAAATCTCTAACCTTGCATCGTTGCCCCTTTCATACTCTGGTGTCGTGCTTAGCTGTTTAGTCTTCAGAAATCGTTTTAGCTCTGCAGTTACCGCGACCTCCTTTTCGTTATCTGTCATCGTTGAAGGTGCCATGTCTGTTTCTGAGGTCTCTAAGTGCTCTCGTAGCGGATTCCGCAAGGGGTTTCCTGCAACCTTGAGGATCTGAAGCTTATTCATATCAGATACCCCAAGGGGGACATCTTCAAGGCGGTTCTGCATCACCGACAGAACCCGGAGAGAAGTCAGTTTCTTGATTTCTTCGGGAAGATAGCTAATCTTGTTCCGACTGAGATCTAATATTTCGAGAAGCGGCAATTTGTAAACCTAGTATCCATGTTAGTCTGTGTAAAAGCCCTGTTGTACAGCCGGTCATGTATCACGTACACCCTTGGGAAATTCCCGGAAGTTGTTCGCTCTAATATTAAGGTACCGAAGATGGGAACACTCTGCAAAACGATATGGAATGTGAAACAGATGATTGTTTGACAAGGAGAGTCTAAAAATGATCAGCGGCCCCTTTTACAAAGAAGATGAAACACCTTGTGGTACTAGAAAACCGTCTGGTACAGATACATACCGCTCGACTTCATCTTTAATTATATCCACCACTGGTTCCGGAATGCGAACGATGTTCGAATGGCCCAGGTCGATAGTCAACTTGGGTTTCACAACATCGCTAACTGCTTCACTTCCTGCCAAAGAGCGTTTCGTTTCTAGGATCCCATTGTCCACAGCGCAACGAGCAAGTTCAATAGTCTCGTCGGGTGAGAGAAGTCGAGGCCCTGTGTTAGGTTTGCCAACATTGCCAACCTTGTCACCCGCAGATCCAATTACGGGCGTTGTTTCATCTTCGCTTTTTGCTGGCGGCTCAGTATTGGATGAAGACGACGACGACGAAGAAGAAGAAGAAGAAAGAATAGGAAGATCCGGGATTCGCCTGCTCGCATCTTCCTCGTCAACGTCACCAAGGTAGGAGCGAGGCATTCGGATTGAATCCTCTGGGCGTGTCATAGTGGAAAGCATGGCGGAGGATGAAGGGGAGGATAAATAGGTGAATTGAAATGTTGACGGCCGGTCCGTTTCCAACGGTCAATTAATGTATCAAACTATCCACGAGACAGGCGAGAGAATCGAGGCGAAGCATGATCAACTAACGCTGCGACAGCAGGATTATGAACGCATCGAACGGCAGTCGAAATATTTTATTATCTTTGTGTTTTTTTTTCCTTCTTCGTCCTTCTCAGGTAGACTACTCAAGGCGTGCTGCGTGAACAAACCGGCACTTCTGATTTCGACGGAGACGCGAAACAAAGCCCGATGATCGCCGTTGGGTTCCTAAATGGCCCAATTTCGCTCGATTCGTAGGGATCGAAAGGCAGTACCGATCGTAGACCAGAGCAATTGAGCTGTCAATCTGACAGGTTGGATATGAGACTCGAAAATCAGGTATCGATGGTCACCGGGCCCATGAGATCAGAAGAAACCGGAGATAGGAGCGAGTGCGTTTTGTAACTAGTGAAACGCGGAGAAAAAGTGCAGCTGTCAGATCAGAAGCCACCCAAATTGATCGGTCGAGGAGGCACACCAAAGATCAGTCTGAGAGTAAAAACAGAGTAATGTTAGGAGTGTAAAGAACGAGGATCTAATTGACGATCAAACAGACGCCGCGATTTTCCAGGAGGGTTCAGAGAGAAAGTCCGGGTCAGGATGAAGTTGAAACAACCCGGCGATCAAATGGGGGGAGCGATAAGTTCCCCCCGTTGATTGGTTGTCACCCTAACAACCTTGCAAGTGCTTGTCATGATCAAGATTTTGTATTGCATTTTTGATACATATTTTTCACTATTGTTTTTTTTTTTTG